CAGTCAGAGGAGATGCGTACCCCATCTATCTCCCCTGTAAGTACAGGCCTAGAGGTAGCCACAGTGGGTGCTTCTTCCCGTGTTACTTCCCCTTCACGCTATGGCGGCTCTCCTGACACTTGTCGAGGCTTTTTAAACCAGATAGGTATTCATTTTGAGTTACAACCCCACGCCTACCCTACTGACAGGGCGAAGGTTGGATTTATAATCACGTTGCTCATTGACAAAGCACTTAGATGGGCTAACCCCCTGTGGGAAAATGATAACCCGTTAGTTTACAATTATAATGCTTTTGTCGCTGCATTTAGGAGAACTTTTGACCCCCCAGGAAGAAAGGCCAATGCAGCTAGACTACTGTTACGTCTTAGACAGTATAACCGAACCCTCGTGGATTATGCGTTAGAGTTCAGATCCTTGGCGGCAGAAGTCAAGTGGAATGAACAGGCTTATATGGACGTATTTATAAACGGGTTATCTGATGAGATTCTAGATGAGGTTGCCACAAGAGAACTTCCTGAAAATTTGGAGGATTTGATTTCATTTATTTCCCGAATAGATGAACGTATGAGACAGAGGCAGAATACTCGGGATAGAACCCGCAGATCCTCCATAAGACTAGCTCCCTCATTTCAGAGTTCTGATTCTACTACTTTAGCTGTCCCAGAACCTATGCAAATAGGTAACACTCGACTCTCAGAAGAGGAAAGACAGTACAGGAGAAGGGAGGGGCTTTGTATGTATTGCGGAATAAGAGGTCACCTACGCCTAAATTGCCCTAACCGGCCGGGAAACGCTCGCACCTAAGTTTCTCAAGAGGACAGGCCTTGGGTGTTTCTATCTTGTCCTCTATATATGATTATAAAGATCATAGGCTTCTGATACCTGTTTCTTTAGCTTGGGAAAAGGGAGTACTTAATGCTATGGCTTTGATAGATTCCGGAGCAGCTGAAAGCTTTATTGACCAAGCCTTTGTCACTAACCATTCTATCCCATCTTAGCTAAGGGATACACCCTTGGCCGTTGAGGCCATAGATGGTAGACCATTATCTGAACCTGTTATTTTCCGTGAAACCATACCAATTAAGTTAACCATTGGTATCCTACACGAGGAAAGAATATCCCTCATGCTGATCTCATCTCCTTCAGTTCCAATAGTCTTGGGGTATCCCTGGCTTAAGAAGCATAACCCTACTATTGACTGGGAACTGGGTGAGATAGTCTCCTGGGGTCAGGGTTGCCAGAGAGGATGTTTACAGAAAGTCTCACCGGTTTGCATAGTTGACGCCCCGGTTAACTCTTCCCAATCTACAGATTTTCAGATACCGTCTCAGTACCTGGATTTAAAGGCAGTCTTTGACAAAAAGAAGGCTGATACTTTACCTCCACATAGGTCCTTCGACTGTAAAATTAGACTCCTGCCTGGTACTATGCCTCCGAGGGGTACGGTATATCCTTTATCCACTAAGGAGAACTTAGTCCTAGAGGAATACATACGTGAAAACCTAAACAAAGGATTTATTAGGAGATCTTCTTCTCCGGCCGGGGCCGGTTTCTTTTTTGTGGATAAAAAAGACGGCACTCTACGGCCTTGCATTGATTATCGGGGCTTGAATAAGATAACTATTAGAAATGCTTATCCTATTCCTTTGATTACTGAGCTCTTTGATCGACTGAAAGGCTCCAAGATTTTTACCAAGTTAGATCTGAGGGGAGCTTATAACTTGGTGAGAATTCAGCAGGGAGACGAATGGAAAACAGCTTTCAATACCCGTTATGGCCACTATGAATACACGGTAATGCCCTTCGGGCTTTGCAATGCACCTGCAGTATTCCAGGACCTAATTAATGAGGTTCTTAGGGAATTTCAGCATGAATGCGTTATAGTATATTTGGATGATATACTAATACACTCTAGAGAGATTGAGACTCAGCACAGACAAGTCAGAAGGGTATTGCGCAAACTGTTACAACATGGATTGTACTGCAAATTGGAAAAGTGTAGCTTCGACCAATCTCAGATAAACTTTCTTGGCTACGTTATTTCTGGAGATGGAGTTAGGATGGACCCCATTAAACTCCAATCGATTTTAGATTGGCCATTGCCCAGGGGACTCAAGGCCATTCATAGGTTTATCGGATTCTCCAATTATTATAGGCGCTTCATTAAAGGTTACTCTTCTATTATTGCTCCTATTACCAATATGACTAGACAGGGTGCTGATACCAAGACTTGGTCTACAGAGGCTCTCTCTGCTTTCAAAACACTCAAAGAACATTTTGCCTCAGCACCGATATTAGTTCATCCTGACACCTCTTTGCCTTTTCTACTCGAGGTAGACGCCTCGGAGACAGGTATAGGCGCTATCTTGTCCCAAAGGCTAGGTTTGGATAAACCGTTACATCCATGTGGTTTTTTTTCCAAGAAATTATCTGGGCCTGAAAGTAGATATGACATTGGTGACAGGGAACTGTTAGCGGTCATTATGGCTTTAAAGGAATGGAGACATTTGTTGGAAGGGACTTTATACCCGGTTACTATTTTGACGGATCACAAGAATTTGTCCTATATAGGGGAGGCCAAGCGCTTGTCCGCCAGGCAAGCTCGTTGGTCCTTGTTCCTTACACATTTCAATTACGTGCTCACTTATAGACCTGGTTCTAAGAACTCTAAGGCAGATGCATTGTCCCGCCAACATGAACCTTCTACGGTGTCTGAAGCAGCTTTGTCTTCTATCGTTCCCAAGTGTAATATTATTGCCAACACGTGTGTCAGGATACACTCGCCGTTGCTTGCTGAGATCAAGAAAGTACAACATCTAGCTCCCAAACCTGTTCCTGGGGCTCGGTACTTCATTCCTCCTGAGCTCCAAGTGGAACTGCTGCATTGCTTTCATGACAGTAAAGTTGCTGGGCACCCCGGCATACGCAAAACGAAAAAAAAAAGATTTCTGGTGGCCTTCTTTTCGTAAGGATATAAGGGATTTCGTCGGGGCATGTGCTGTCTGTATGAAGACTAAGCAACCTCATGCGCTCCCATGTGGGCTTTTGCACCCCTTAGAAATTCCCGAGAGACCATGGTCCTGTTTGGCTATGGACTTCATTGTCGATTTGCCTGTTTCTAAAAAACATACTGTTATTCTCACGGTGATTGACAGGTTTACTAAAATGGCTCATTTCGTGCCCTTGCCTAAACTGCCCTCGTCTCCCGAATTAGCTGAGATATTCGCGAGGGAGATTTTTCGTTTACATGGTATTCCCTCTGAAATTGTTTCTGATAGAGGTTCCCAATTTGTTTCCCGCTTTTGGAAGTCTTTCTGTTCTCACTTAGGCATCAAGTTGAATTTCTCATCTGCCTATCATCCCCAGTCCAACGGAGCTGCCGAACGCACCAACCAAAAGATTGAACAATATTTGCGTTGTTTTGTTTCTGAACACCAGGACGATTGGGTTGGTCTGATTCCTTGGGCAGAGTTTGCGCACAACAATCTCGTTTGTGATTCTACTCGTTCTAGCCCCTTTTTCTTGAATTATGGCTTTCATCCTTCCATTCTTCCGTCGGTTTCCCCTTCCCAAGGGGTACCGTCGGTTGATATTCATGTCGCCAATCTGAGAAAGTTGTGGGATCAGACTCGACGAATTCTTCTTCAGAATTCCACGGTGTTCAAACGACACGCTGACAAACGGAGACGGGTGGCTCCGGTTTTTGCCCCGGGTGATAAGGTGTGGTTGAGTACCAGAAACATCCGCTTGAAGGTTCCTTCCATGAAATTTGCCCCTCGTTACATAGGCCCTTACAAGGTTCTGTGTCGGATTAACCCGGTTGCGTATCGTCTTGCCCTTCCGCCTGCCCTGCGCATCCCTAACTCTTTTCATGTTTCTTTGTTGAAGCCTTTGGTTTGTAACAGATTTTCCTCCGCTGTGTCCTCCCCTCTCTCTGTCCAGGTTGAGGGTCAGGAGGAATATGAAATCAAATCCATTCTCGATTCTCGTATTTCTCGGGGGAAGTTGCAATATCTTGTTGACTGGAAGGGGTATGGGCCTGAAGAAAGGTCTTGGGTGGGCCATGAAAATGTGCATGCCCCTCGTCTCCTCCGGGCATTTCATGCTCGTTTTCCGTCTCGCCCCGGTTCCTTCCGCCCGGTGGGCGTTTCTGAGAGGGGGGGTACTGTCAGGTTACCTCTGGTGTCTACCTCGGAGGAGGTTAGACACCTAGACGTCCATCCTCCTAGGGGGGCTGACTCACCCGATCCTCGCAGTCCTCCCGGCCGTTTACACGCCGGCCGCGATAGCTCCGCCTCCTTTTATGACGCGGCGCTCAGTAGCCGACGTCATGACGGCAATCACGTTCCGACCCGTCAATCACGGCAACCAAGTGCCGAACAACGAATCAGGACTCGTTGGGGGCGGGGTCAACAGTTAAAGAGCCAAGGTATAAAAGAGGGTTTTGTGGAATGATTCATTGCCCTGTCGTGGTTCTAGCTAGTCTGTTCACTCAGTGCTCTTACCTCTATTGTCTTTTGGTTCCTGACTCGGCTTGTATTTTTTGACCCTGCTTTCCTCTCTTGTCCTTTTGACTCGGCTTGTCTCTCGCTTACCTACTCTCTCGTTCCCTTGACCTCGGCTTGTCTCTGACCATTCTTTGCTTTCTCCTTACGTTAGTCCGGCCATTCTAAGGTCCGGTATACGTACCTATCTCCTGTTTGTATTCTGCGTGTTGGATCCCTGTCACGATCCTGACAGGCCCTTCCCGTCGGACTCACACTAGCCACCAAAACAATACTGAAAGATAACTACCCTTTTGACTGGAGAAAGACATCACTAACATACCTAGGCGTAAAAATAGCACCAACAATAGAAGAAATCCTGAAACTAAATTACCTCACGCTTCCCCAACAATGCAAGAGAGACCTACAAAAATGGTCTCAGACGCATATCTCCTGGCTAGGAAAAATTAACGCATACAAGATGATGTTACTGCCCAAACTTCTCTACATATTTAGAATGCTTCCCATCCAAGCCCCACAAACACTCCTCAACTCCCTACAAAACATCTGCAGCTCATTCATATGGGGGAACAAGAAACCGCGCATATCCTGCACCATACTCTACAAACATCCTACAAAAGGAGGAGTAGGGTTACCCAACCTAAACCAGTATTATAAAGCCACGATGCTGGCATCGGGCATACTGTTGCACTTAAATCGAGGTATCATCCAATGGGTAGACATGGAAAAAGCCCAATTGGACAAAAACGCAACGCTCGACTACCTATGGACACCGAAAAAACATAGACCAGTCAAACCAAACCTATACCCCACCACAACACTGACCGTCCACATTTGGTCTACATTTCTAGATACAGTAGGGGCCAAAGAAAAATTCCACCCCAACGCACCTCTAACCGCCTTAAGAGCCATATCACCAGACATGCGTCTACAGACTTGGGCACATGCAGGCATTAGACATATTCACCAGATAATGCAATCGCAAGAAATATTACCCTTCACAGACATACAAACGAAATGGGAATTGCCAACAAACGCTATTTTCACATACTTACAACTAAAAGGGATCATCAACACACATGTAAACAAGCAACAACAATCCCCTGAACAGAGCCCCCTTCCATCAAAGGCAGTAATAGAAAGATGCTGGAAAGGCCCTATGAAAAAGAACAGTATTTCCCTCTGTTATAGGACATGGGACAGTACCTTGCCCAACGCAGCACCACATTGCAAAGCAATGTGGGAAACAGAATGCACTATCCAACTCACGGATGACGAATGGATTCATGCATTGAACGCCATATCTAAATGGACTAAGTGCTACACCCATATAGAAGCACATAGGAAATTACTGTACAGATGGCACTTAACTCCCTACACTCTCCATAAAATTTACCCCAATACGTCTCCTCTCTGCTGGAGATGCTCGGCGGAGACAGGCACACATACGCACATATGGTGGTCATGTCCCAACATACAACCCCTCTGGGTAGAAGTACAAAACACTCTAAGTGCCCTTAATGTCCCACACAGAGGAAACCACCCCGAACTATTCCTACTTATGCGTTTCCCCCCATCATTTAAATATACACACAAACAACTGAGTGCAATCACCATCCTGGCAGCTCGTAATTTGATAGCCTGCAACTGGAAATCCACACTCTGTCCTACCAAAGCCACATTATGGGATAAAATACAGCAATACTACACGTACGAACGTATGACCGCTCCGGACGCAAAAACGACCTGGGCCCCCTGGGTAGCGTTATACGACAACAAACAATAAGAGCTGTGTGACGAACCGACAGACACCCCCAACCCGTGACAATCCTCAGAATAGAAACCCACGATAAGCACATAAATGTTGTATAGGACGCTCAATGAACGAGCACATAAAGCACCACCGCAACTGTGTAGACTCCCCCATGAAACTAGGAGCCGTATGGGAACCCTTGTACATGTTCCTTGATTACTTGTTACCATGCTATATGTTATACCTATTGTTACCTTGTATCCACAACTTTTTGTATTCTTGTGATACTACGTATTACCCACTGTTCAGTTTTTGTAAACAATGAAACAAAAACCCAATAAAAACTATATTGGAGAAGTATATTATAATATATTATATTATAATGTTGTTGTTTTTTGTTTTAAAATTGGAACTAAATAAATAGAGTTTCTGTATAGTCCTGGAGCCTATGCGGATTCTTTTTGGAATGACTTCAGAAAAGAGGTCAATCCAATGTCTTGGAGAATAGCTTACTATTTTAAAAGTGAGATATGTATACATCCTAGAATAGTTTATTCTATATGAGGAAGATGACACATTTGATATTTAGTGAAAATGCCTTCAGAGTAGCTGAGATATACTCAGCGATAAACTAGAGCAATACCATTTTCTACCAATACCAATTGAATTGTATCTGCTTTAACATATATACATTTTATCATGTACTTTTTTTAATGTAATTGTTTGGTTTTTTGAGGATATAATAGTATACAAATTTTGTAAGGTAACATTTCTTTTTTACAGCAATATCATTATAATAATTTTTTTCTTATTAATATATTGAGGTTTTAATTTTTTTATATATTGTGTTTTATTTGATTAAGTTTGCTAATTCTATTTGTTTACTTTTGCATTGCCATGATTATCTTTACATTTCAGTTTTATCGTTTACACAATGTCAGTTATAGGAAATCATTTGAAACACTGTTTGCATGATTAAAAACCTGTTGTCCAATCTCATCCTTTATCATTTAAAAAAATTTACTTACAGATTTTGGTTTGCAATTGTCGTTTATTTAACGTAATTGTCTAAACAATATACCGTGACTTAATTTAAAAGATTTCCAACACTATATTATGTGAGATATTATGGGATTAATGATTTGTAATACAAAACCTGACTAATGTGCAATACTTAATGGATTTAAAAACCAACACATTTCTTTTAATAATTATCTAATTTGTTGACCTTATGTAGATATTAATACGCATAAAATTTCATATAATCATACAATCAAATCACAATTTAATTTTGATCTAGTATTGTTAATGTTGTAAAGCAATATATTAATGAAGTTACATTGTCAGAGGCAATAGTAAATAAGATGTGTCTCCCTTGTATATTATGCACAAGCATTGAAATGCATAAAATAAGAAACTAAAATAATATTGCAAAGCCAAAGAACGAAGACCTTCCTACAAGACAAAACAGACCATAGTATCACAGTACTATTATTTGATCTAGGTTAAATATTGAGGTCAGATCACCATGCCCTTATATTTAAAATACAATAAGTATCAGATTACAAGAGATTTTAGTAAGTATCCATAACCATATTGATGTGTATATTAGTAATACTTTGTAGATAGTCCTACATTGATGTCAATGCTAATATTCACGGAATTTAAAGTTAGGCTATTTATACATTTTTCCAGACATCCAATTTATCAGCAGTACTGCAGATAAACAATGCTATCCAAATATTTTTTTTCTGTTTAATTTTCAGCTGTAAAATTCACTTATTCTACTTTAAACTTTAATAGAAGCACTTCTGGATTATCTGTATATCCTACTTAACACACACACACACACACACACACACATATATATATATATATGAGAAATATAGAATTGTTAATCTAAATTGTGATTGTTCCACTGCTATCAACCTCTATATACACTATATATATATATATATGAGAAATATAGAATTGTAAATCTAAATTGTGATTGTTCCACTGCTATCAACCTCTATATACACTATATATATATATATATATATATATATATATATATAAGAAATATAGAATTGTAAATCTAAATTGTGATTGTTCCACTGCTATCAACACGTGTATATAGAGGTTGATAGCAGTGGAACAGTGGATAGCAGTGGAACAATCACAACCCCCCAGGAGACTCTAAGATGGCCATCAGGGATGGTGGCTGGTATTCTCTCTGGTGTCCACGAGCGTTAGTGAGTGTCATTGATACTAGTGCACTACTGTGATGTCATGTGTGATATGCTGTCCTGTGTGTGTCCTCTTTTATGTGTTGAATTCCGTTATTTATGACCTTCTCTTTGGGGCTGGAACAAGGTAGCGCCTAATGATGTGATTGGTCTGGGTGGTTCAGGAAATTAATTATTATCTAATGGTATATATATGTAATGCTTTTAGTTGTCCACCAGAGGCAGTATCATACAACCGATTTATAAATTAGGTCTTCAAAACATTGTGAGTGTAACATTGTGATTTCTTGCAAAACAGTGGGGTTGTAGTGTAGCGCTTACAATATAACAAGAACAGGTACATCGGCATACAGACAGAAGTGCAAAAGTATGCTTATGAAGTATCCAGTGGAGCATGTCATTACAAAGCACTTATTATGGTGCGCGTGCATGTATATGCAACTTAAAGTGCTAAGTATATCCAAAAGAGTGTCAATATGAACCTTTAAAGTGATTAGTATACTTTTAACTGGATTTTTATGCAAAACAGCAAATATACTTTTTTAAGCTTTTTCAAATGTGATTAAAGGACCACTATAGTGCCACTCATCACCCCCCTCTCCCTCACATCACACCCTTCTCCCTCTCATCACCCCTCTACCTCTCACCATCACCCCCTTTCCATCTCACCATCACCCCCTCCCCTACTCACCATCACCCCCTCCCTCTCACCATCACTCCCCCTCACACCACCCCCCTTTACTGCATCGCCTCCCTCCTCACCATCACCCCTTCCCTCCACACCATCACCCCTCTCCCTCTCACCATCAACCCCTCTCCCTCTCATCATCCCCTCTACCTCTCACCATTACCGCCTCACACCATCAGCCCCTCTCCCTCTCATTACCCCATCTCACCATAACCCCCTCACACCATCACCCCCTCTCACCATCACCCCCTCTCCCTTTCACCATCACCCCCTCCCTCTCACCATCACCCCTTCCCTCACACCATCACCACCACCCTCTCTCTCACCATTACCCCCTCTCCCTCTCAAAATTACCCTTCTTCCCACTCACCAACACCATCACCCCCTCTCCCTCTCACATCAACTCCTCTCACTCTCATCACCCCTCTCCCTCTCACCATCACCCCTCACACTATCACCCCACTACCTCTCACCATCACTGCCTCCCACCATCAGCCACTCTCTCTCATCACCCCCTCCCCTCTCACTATCACGCCCACACACCATCACCCCCTCTCCCACTCATCACCTCCCTCTCATCACCTCACTCTCCTCTCATTACCTCAACTCTGCTCCCTCTCACCCATCACCTTCCTCCCTCTCACCATCCGCCCCCCCCTCCTCCTTCTCACCCCTCACCCTCTCTCCCTCCCACCATCACCCTCCCTCACACCATCAGCCCCCACACAGTATCACCCCCATCACACACACAGCTGTTAGCATCCCCTCACACTGTCACCTCTCCACACATTGTCACCCCCCACACGGCCAGCCTCATGCACTCACATTAACCACTCCTAATCCTGTTAATCTCTCCAAACTCACCTGCCCTCAATCTGCCAAACTCACCCTGTCACATTAATCCCCCTTAATCCTGTCACACGCATCCCTCCTACCATGCCACAATTGCCCTGACACACTTACCTCCACTCTCCCTGTCACACTCCCTCATCAAACCATGTCATACTCCCTCTCCCTCCTTCTCTCTCACAACCCCCCCACCCTGTCAATTTACCCCCTTCGCTCTGTCACACTCTCCCTGCCACTGGTACCCCTTTACTCACCTTGTCACAGTCACCAGCTGAAGACATTCATCATACACACACAGTCAGGAAACATAGCTTTGCCATAAACGCAATGCACAAAGACTACAGGCAGACCCCCATACACACTTCAAGCAAATACCCCATACACATACACATATGGTTACAGACAAAAACACAAACTCACAGAGACATACATTCACACACACACACACAAGGATACTCTCTGTCAGACACACTCTCGGGCACATACACAGGTAAACTGTGCATCAATGTGTATATGTGACAGTGTGCATGTATTGCAACTCTATTTTTTTCACTTTTGTGTTAGTGGGGCCTCATGTTTGAGTTTCCCCTATATCCTCATAAAGTCTAGAGCTG